CTGGGAGAGCCATTGGTATTCAGCCTGGCAGCCTGTCTAGACATCAGGCCTTGGAGAGGGATTGGCCAGCCCTGAGCTCGCTGCAGTGACACTCCTGTCACCATCAGTGCCAGCAGGGATGGGGCTGATCCTGCCTCTGGAGCTGCTGACACCTCTCAGAATTCCAGCACCTGCCAGCTGCTCTGGAATCCTGCTCCGTGCTGGGACAAAAGCTGAGCCTTGCATGGCAAATGCAAATTAAGTAGAATGATAGTGAATTTATCACGGGGTGAAAAAGTAGATTTTGGGTTTTTTATAATGGGGGTTCAGGGGGCAAGATGGAGGAACCTGGGCATGTCCTGTCATTCTTCTTCTTCTTGGCCTCCATCTTCTGCTGTGATGGTGGCACTTTCAGATTGGTTTAGAGTAGAAGCTCGCTGTCTAACACAGGTGATAGGTATTGGAAAGTTATTGTAAATATTGTACATGTAGTTTTTTAGTATAAAAAGATAACACCACTGCCCTGGGGGTGGCCAGAGTGTCTTGGACTGTCTTGCTGAGCAAACCTCGGCTGGACAGGAGAAAGAATTTTATAGATAAGATACAATAAACAACCTTGAGAATGAGAACTGAAGAGTTCTGACTCCTTCTTCAAGCACCAAACTGGGAAAAGAGACTTTCTAACACATCTCGGGGTCACTCTGACCAGCTAAAGCCCCGACAATCCTTTATGAAGGAAAGTTCGAGATCCAGGATTGCGGTTTGGGATAAAACCACTAGCTCCCTGATTTTTATTTTTTGTTTAAGATGTGTTTTCTCTTGCCAGCCCTCTCCTGTGGCATTCCCAGAGCCCCAAGGAACGGGGTTGTCTTTGGCAAGGAGTACACGGTGGGCACCAAGGCCGTGTACCAGTGCAATGAGGGATTCCAGCTGCAGCCGGGCGCCGCGCCCAGCACCGAGTGCCTGCAGGATGGAGTGTGGAGCAACGGGAACCAGCCCCCTCTGTGCCTGGGTGAGTGGGGATTGGACAGCAGTGAGGCCTTTGGGGCTGCCTAAAAACACAGGCCAAACAAAATTTAAAAGTGTAAATCAGTTCTATTTATTGAAGGGTTTTCAGGGGCGTTTAGGGCGGATGAAACTCCCCAGGGGCTGCACCCAAAATGGACAATGGGTCATAGTTTTTCACACTTTTATAAGTTTAACCCCCA